TGAGTGTAAATATACAGTGTTGTGCAAAAGTCTTCGGAAGTCAAAGGAAATGTTTAAAGCTATTTATCTCTATTTATCTAGGAAGTAGATGTATATTTGCTCAGAACAAAAACACTACCATTACAGTATATTCAAATTAAGAGTAACACAATAAGAACTAGTAAGAATTTTGACTGTTGCCCAAAAACTTACTGAGATCTTCCTGGACGGTTAGATGAACACCGCTTTAGCTCCCAAACCCCTCCTCAGGAACACCCCAGTTATTCCTTATATTGATTAAATTTCACCAGCAGCTCATGTAATTAATTAAATTAGTTTAAAAAAAAAAACAGTTGGTCAGGTGTTGATTAGCCAGAAATGGTATGATAGTGATAGAGTCAAAAATCCATCAATGTACTGGATGGTCGCTGCAAGAACTGGGGTCATTTTAACAAATGTTCTGAAACGGCTAAGCTGACAGACTTTGACAGGCATAATGTTACACCAACATAAAGATCATTTAAACATTATTTTCTTTGACTACCTAAGACTTTTGCATAGTATATATTTATACACACACACACTTGCATACATGATGTAATGTGTATGACACTGTCCCAGTTTCCTGTGCTTAGCATTTTGAAAATACACAAACAGCACTGAGGTCAGGTGAGGTTTACAAAATGTTGATTAAGTGCTCCTGTGAAAAGCTAAGTTTTTGGTTATGCACAATTTGGGACGGATTTCGGAGGTTTGGGGACGCCATGGATGCAGGATTTATTTTTTATTTATTTTTACGAATTGTGTTGGCTTAGCAAAAAGACTGTACCTGTTAGGGTTCCATAAAACAACAGCAGGGGCAGCACGGTGGCTCGGGATTGGGTTCAAATCCCACCTGGATTTTACAGACTCTCCTCATGTTATACGGGATTCCCCTGATTTCCTTTCACAGTCCAAGCACAGGCAGTTAGGCTGACCAGCCTCCCTCAATTGCCTAGAGTATGATTGTGTATGTGAGGGTATCTGCAGTGCAACACTCTGACACCTTGTGCATTCTGGGATAGGCACCAGGGTCCCCACCACCCTGACCAGGATAAGTGGTTAAAAGATGGATGTTTGGATAAAAAGAGCAGATGAGAATGTGAGGCTTACCTTCTGAGCACTGTAACACAGTCAGCATCAACCACAATAACGGGCCGCGCTTCCTGCAGGAGCCTCCCATCCTGCTCTGCTTGGGGGCCTCCGACATTTGGGGTGAAGTTGGTCGGCGAGACGCAGGCCGCTGGTCACTGAGTCATCATCCGCAGCGGTGCTTTGTCATGCTCCTTATCGCCTGGAAGGGGACAGGGACGGTGTCAGGGACAGCTCGCCGGGGTCCTGCTCGCGTAAGACCTGCCCTGCTGTTCATATGCAGCTTCTTGACCTATTTAGACGGTAAGTTTCCCACATGGGAGCTGCATGACACCGAAGCGCGAGACGGGATCACTTTAGGGAGGGTGTAAGGGAAGATGGAGGAGATGCCAGCCAGAGATAAACACGCAAACACACACACACACACACACCTCCCCTACTGTCCACCAGCCCCATCATGACCTGCTGAAGCTGCGCTGTGTGAGTGAGCCCACCTGGCCTCCCCTCCGTGCTCCCTGCCTTCCTCACCTGGCCTCCCCTCCGTGCTCCCTGCCTTCCTCACCTGGCCTCCCCTCCGTGCTCCCTGCCTTCCTCACCTG